TTGAATTTTTGCCAAATTTTTTCTTGTGATTGAATTCCAGTTTTAAAGCATTGTGGTCTGAGAATATGCAGGGAATAATCTCAATCTTTTGGTATCGGTTGAGACCTGATTTGTGACCCAGTATGTGGTCTATTCTGGAGAAAGTTCCATGTGTACTCGAAAAGAATGAGTATTCTGTTGTTTTAGAGTGGAATGTTCTGTATATATCTATGAGGTCCATCTGGTCCAGTGTGTCATTCAAAGCTCTTGTTTCTTTGTTGATTTTCTGCTTAGATGATATGTCTATTGCTGAGAGTGGAGTACTGAGGTCTCCTACAATTAACGTACTGTTATCAATATGACTCTTTATTTTGGTTAACAGTTGGCTTATGTAGATGGCTGCTCCCATGTTGGAGGCATAGAGATTTACAATTGTTAGATCTTCTGTTGATAGACCCTTTAAGAATGATATAGTGTCCTTCTGTGTCTCTAACTACTGTTTTTAGTTTAAAATCTAATATGTCTGATATAAGAATTGCTATCCCAGCTTTCTTTTGAGGTCCGCTGGCATGGAAGATGGAGCTCCATCCCTTCACTTTCAGTCTGGATGTATCTTTAGGTTCAAAATGAGTCTCTTACGGACAGCATATGGATGGGTCCTGTCTTTTTATCCAATCTGCAACCCTGTGCCATTTTATGGGAGCATTTAGGCCGTTCATGTTGAGAGTGATTATTGAAAGATATGAATTGTCATCATGTTGCCTGTGAAGACCTTGTTTTTATAGATTGTCCCTGTAAATTTCTGTTGTATATCACTTTTGGGGCCTTTCTCCTTTTATAGAGCCCCCCCCCTTAATAGTTCTTACAGGGCCAGCTTAGTGGTCACATATTCTTTCAGTTTCTGCCAGTCTTGGAAGCTCTGCATCTCTCCATCCATTCTAAATGATAGTCTTGCCGGATAAAGTATTCTTGGCTACATGTTCTTCTCGTTTAGTACCCTGAATATGTCTTGCCAGGCCTTTCTGGCTTGCCAAGTCTCTGTGGATAGGTCTGACGTTATTCTGATGTTCCTCCCTCTGTACGTAAGGAATCTCTTCCCCATAACTGCCCTTAAGATGGTTTCCTTGGTTCTAAGATTTGCAAGTTTTACTATTACATGCCAGGGTGTTGGCCTGTTTTCCTTGATTTTGGGAGGGGTCCTCTCTGCCTCTAGGACACGAATGTTTGTTTCATTCCCAGATTAGGTAAATTCTCAGCTACGATTTGCTCAAATATATCTTCTAGTCCTCTCTCTCTCTCCAACCCCTCTGGGATTCCAGTAATTCTGACATTGGAATGCTTCATGGTGTTGCTTATTTCTCTGACTCTATTTTCATGGATTTGGAGTTGTTTTTCCCTGGCCTCCTCTTTTCTCTTTTTATCCATTAAATTGTCTTCCAGGTCACTAATTCGTTCTTCTGCCTCACTTACCCTAGCTCTTAGATTATCTAGATTAGATTGGATCTCACTGATAGCATTTTTAAGTTCTGCCAATTCAGCTTTCATTTCTGCCCTTAAGAGACTCTATGTTGCCATTAACTGACTTCTCCATTCTAGCTATTGTCTTCACAATTGCTAGCCTGAATTCCATCTCCGACATCTTGGTTATAGCTGCATCCATTTGTAAATCTGTGGCATAAGTCATAATCTCTAAATCTTTCCTATTTGGGGGGTTCCTCCTTCTAGTAATTCTGTTGATGGGTGTTTGAGGGAATGTATAGAGTCCAAATTATTGACCACAACCCAAGCAAGATGCACCTGTTTTCTAGGGACCTTAGGGTTGCTGGTCTTTTGTTTTCCCAGCCTGTCTTCTGGGGGAGGGCCCTGCCGCGCTGTTACTCAGGCAACCCTGTTTGGGCAGAGCTGCCCTGCCCCCTGTAGTGGGGGATGGGCTCAGTGGGAACCAGTTTTTGGAGGCTTTTGTTCTCTGGCGGCTTTCCCTGCTGGCTTTCCACATCTCTTCTGAGAGAGCAAAAGAGACCATTTCCAACCCTCTGCCTCAGAGCAGAGAGATTGCAGTCTGTTCTTCAGTGAGCTCTCCAGGCCACAGTCTCCGTTTCTGTCCGTGCTGCTATAAACTGCAGCGTCCTGGGTTGTGCACCCCTCCACAGCGCTCCCAGTCCTGCCTCCAGGTCAGGGCACGTTTCAGAGCACTTTTGTGCCTCTAGAACCGCCAGCCGCCCCCAGTTCTCAGGCCTGGCCCTGCCACTCCGGTTTCCATCTAAAGTCCTTTCCCTGCCACTACCGGTCTGCGAGTCTGTGCCCCGTCCCCAGCGCGGGAGGCTATCGCTCACTGGCGGTGTAGGATCCCCATGGCCAGGCTCCCTCCCACTGCTGTTTATCCTCTGGTATCTGCCTGCAGAATCACAGCTCCCGCTTCGTACCTTGAAACCAACCACCTGCGATCTTCTGTTTGTAGAGATCCAGATCTATCTTCTTACATCTCAGGCTGAATTTGTGGGTGCTCAGAGTAGTCTGGTAGATATCCAGCTCAATTCCGGGGACCAGTTGGAATAGAGTCCCCTACTCCTCTGCTATCTTTTCTCAAATCCTCTCTACCCCAAGAGAGAGAATCTTAAGCAGGCTCCATGTCCAGCGCAGAGCCCAATGCAGGGCTCAATCTCAAAGCCCTGAAGTCATGACCTGAGCCAAAATCACAACCTGAGCCAAAATCTAAAGTCGGCACTTAACCCACTGAGCCACCCAGGTGCCCCGGGCTTGGTATTTTTAAATATCTTTCCTATTTTTAAGAGTGAGAAGGCTACAGTATATGTTCAGGCTGCCATACTGAAATTCTTTTAAGATTTTTAGATCTTGAGGTTGTAGTAATGGCTGAGTTAATATAACACATATATACACATACAAACACACAAACCCATGTTCTAAATGCAGTACATTCACTATCTCATTTAATGCAAGCAAATATTTAATTTATACTATTAAAAAACAAATGCCTACCTGCACGTTGTTTTCCTTCTGTCTAAAGTCAATATTGGCAAGCTTTGCCTGCTTCATGGAACTTTCTTCTTTTTTATCTAGGTTATTAAATTGTACAACTTCAAATGAATTCCAGAGATAGAATCAAATATTATGCCCAACATTCAACCTAACCTTGTAATTTAAAAAATTAAGTTACATGAATATTTAAATTAAAATATAGAAATATGAAATTTCTACATAACTCTTAATTCCTCACTATATAACAGTTATTACAATAAGCATGAATGTAAAATGAAAACCAGCTTACAAAATTACACCTTTATAATAAGGAACCAAAGAAGACTCGGAGAAAAAGAACAGCTAATAGGGTTAAACTAATACAATGTAGTTAATCTAATCAGCAGAACCATTGAATGAAACATGATCTTAGTGACTAAGTCACAAATATTAACACAAGTCTGCTACCCACTTTAATTATACATATTGATAACACTTCTCAAATGAAAAATGTATTATTATTCATCCTCCTCTGACAGCTGTGCAACCAGACCAGAACACTTCTTATAATATCTTGTGATTTCTCTCTCAAAGAAAAAAACAGGTATAGAAGAGGCATATCTTGCTTGCTCTCAGAAAGAAAGTAGTACTTTCCTGAGTCTACTGGTCTCTAGTATTGTCTGTTCTTGCTTACCCCAAATGATAACAAAATTGCTTCTATTTCTTCTATGTGTTTGCAGAGAAAACTAAGTTTTTAAATAATTAACAGATACTGTACCTATAACTCTTGGTTCTGAAGAATGCATCTTCATTAGTCTGTCTAATTTCTGAGATTCATGTGGAAGAAATAATTGACTGTTTTGAGGGGTTTTACTCAATGTAAGCGCAGGTTGTTCATCTTTTTCAAAAAGTCTAAAGAGTGAATTACATTAAATATTTAGTAAGCAAAAAAATAATGTATAAAGCTAGAAGAGATATTTATTGACTATATAGTTTAAACTCATTTTGCATACAGTAAAACTGAGTTCCAGAAATTTAACAGATCTGCCCATTATTAAATTGCTTACTGACATCACAGCTAAAACACACTTTTCCTGAGTAAGTCTAGTACCCTTCTCAGTATACCACACTCTCATTTTTAAAACATAATCATTTTAAAAGAATTTATAAACATGTCAAAAACATTTAAATCAAAACTTTATCCACAAATAGCATGCTGTAGATTTCAGAGTACTTCAAACTTTAAAAACAATTATTCAGAAACAAATCAGCTAGTATGAATCCAGAAGCAGTATTATAATCATAAATATGTCTTTTTTTTTAATATGTCTTTTAAGTTTTTTACCGGAAGAAAAAAACTCATTGAATTTTTCCTAAATTAAAAAAAAAATTTTAGTTATTGATGGTTAAATAATTTAAATAATGGTGTCATTTATAATAACTATCAAAATAGACATTGAGGAAAAATGACTAACAGTTACATAAGTTCCTCTCAATATAGAGGATTTTTACAGTATTAAAAAGTTGTCAATGAAGTGAAATTCTAATCAATTTCTTCACAGAATTAAAGACAAATTATTATGGTTTTGAGAAATAGGCAGCGGGGGGGGATCAAGGAAATAATAGATCCAAGGAAGTGGAATCTGAGAAATTAACTTGGGAGAGGAATGTGTTGAAAAATCAGGATAAGAGCAATGGAGCCTAATGAGACAAATTTAAGAAGAATTTAAAAGGGTACAGGCAGAAAGAGAAAAAGTAGAAATTTTATCAGAAACAGCAACAGTGATACACCTATTTTTCTGTTACACAACAGACAAAATCAATCTTTTTTTTAATGCCTCCACCACTGATGTCTCTTTTATCACCATTAGGATGAAAGACAAGGCCACAGATTCAGCAGCATTTTGATTCATCTTCACTCTCTGTGGCAACATAAGAACTGGTCAAGCTGGTGACAGGGGTGATAAAAAGGTAAATACAATGCTGTTCCCACAACTGTTCCTCTGTTTTTCTCCTATTGGTGATCCATCATTGAAAACTGGATGAAATGTACAATGACAGGCTATAAAACAGCAAATGTGCTACTACTATCTTATTTCTCTCTACACGTTATCCTTGGCCTTACTAAACAACAAGCATATTTGAAAGTTAATCTATAATATTTAAGGGCAAAATCAGTATTTTTCAAGAAATAAGCAGAAAATAGCCTGCATAAATGTATATAGATATACATATGAATATATGAATATTGGTGGCTTGGGACAGAATATAGAATATAGCGGGGCACCTGGGTGGATCAGTCATTAAGCATCTGCCTTCAGCTCAGGTCGTGATCCCAGGGTCCTGGGATGAAGCCCCGCATCGGGCTCCTTGCTCCGCAGGAAGCCTGCTTCTCCCTCTCCCACTCCCCCTGCTTGTGTTCCTGCTCTCGCTATCTCTCTGTCAAATAAATAAATAAAATATTTTTAAAAAAAGAATATAAAATCAAATGCTTAGATGCAGAATAACTATTCACATAAAATCCCATTTTAAAGTTCACCTATGGGTGCCTGGGTGGCTTGGTCAGTTGACCATCTAACTCTTGATCTTGGCTCAGATCATTATCTCAGGATCATGAGATCGAGTGATGGGTTCAGCTCCATGCTCAGTGTGTAGTCTGCTTGAGATTCTCTCCTTCTCCCTGTGTCCCTCCCCCCCACTCGTGCGTGCTCTCTCTCTAAATAAAATCTTTATAAAAAATAGTTTACCTATACCTTTCTTTCAAATCCTTTATCTTTTCTATATTTTTATTTTTTTCTTCCAGAGTTTCTGCAAGATTCTTAGTTTCATGGAGTCTTGCAATCTGCTAAAAAGAAAAATGACAAAACAAAACAAAATAATTATCTGTGAAGCATTAAAAAACATATGCTTCATCTTAACTAATGAATATGATTTTTTCTACATACTCACAGGATTTATGTTTTTGTGGCATCAGCTATCTTTTAGTGAAAGTTGCTAAAACAGGGTCAAAATTAACAATAAATCATACTCCTTTAACTTTTCCTTATAACTCCATTAGCAAACCTAGATTCAATGAACTTCCATCTTCTTTTTTAAAAAGGTCAGAAGCAAAGTAGATATCAATTCCCTATATATAGACATAGTTACCATATATTTTAAAGGAAGTAGCATCTACTTTATTATTAAAATGATTTTATTGTTATTTGGAACCTTATGCCTAAGAATGGTTAATATATCTTCTTTAACACAACTTTCAAAAAATTCAGAAAATTAGCTGTTCAATTTTTTTCTCAGAATTTGGAAACAACTTTGATGGGTTCTCAGTCAATGAAAGCCATTTCAGTAGAGGACAGTAACAATGTATTCAAGAAAATATCATGCACCATCAATCTTAAAGGCTAAACTAGTTCTAGCCTAGTTCTATACAGATGACAGCCATAAATTTTCAAGATTAAATTCTTTAAATAATTTACTGTCTTGTTCTCTTTTTTGACAACATTGTTGTAGCCATTTGAGTGCCTTTAAGTTCTGTTATTAAGCTGTATCTTGTACTTTATTCACCTTTTTTCAGCTGCCAAAGAAAAACTATTCTCTAAAACTCATAACTAAATATGCTCAGTACCTAAAACACATATTGGCTCCAAAGGTAATCTGAGGTAAATAAATTTTCATAAGTCTTTCTCCATATTTAGGCTCTTTAGAAATAGCTCTTCTAAGACTGTCAGTTAACATAGCATTATACTTATACATTAGTACATATATTAGAAACATATTGCAAAATATATACCTGGTTTAAATAATTAATTTCTATTTCCACTTCATCTACTTCTTCCTTCAATTCAGATGAACTTTTGGAATAATTGCTGGCATGTTTAAGAATATCTTGTGTTTTACATCTCACATTAGCCCTTTTATGTTAAGGAACTATATTATGCAAGTAAATTTTACATTTGTAATATATGTACCATATCAGAAATAGTTAATATTATGTAACTTTATATATGTTCCATATAAACAATAAGCAATATTAATAACAGTATCTGAAAATAGAGGTAAAACTAACATAAACACTTGGCAAACTGACAAAGATAATTTATTGCTTACCTATGTTATATATTGAGCTTAAAAACTTTTCATCCAAAATGTTAGAATTTTTCCTTTTACTTAAATATTTCACATAGTTTTTTGCTTTTGTTTTTTTACCCAAGTTCATCATGTCATTTGGCATGACTAATAATGCATAATCAATTCAGGTCGAAATTTAACTTCTTGTGTTTCCATTGTTTATTTATGCCAAAGTCAACATTTAAAAATCCAACCAGGGTGCCTGGGTGGCTCAATCAGCTAGGTGTCTGAATCTTGATTTTGGTTCAGGTTGTGGTCTCAGGGCCATGGGATCAAGCCCACAGCAGGGCTCTGCGCTCAGCAGAGTGTCTGCTTGGGATTCTCTCTCTCCCTCTGAACCTCACCCCCAAGAATAAATAAATAAATAAATCTTTTTAAAATATTAATTAATTAATTAAAATCCACCCAATTTCCCTTTTCTTGCTCTGTAAGTTTCATCGGTGCAGCCTGCAGGACTCAGAAGACAGCTAGATCTTCCATCTGGACTTTCTGCTTGAACTAGATTTATACCCAATTTCAAAGATTTTTTTTAAGATTTTATTTATTTGACAGAGAGAGAGAGACAGTGAGAGAGGAAACACAGCAAGGGGAGAGGGAGAAGCAGGCTCCCCGCTGAGCAGGGAGCCCGACACGGGGCTCGATCCAAGGACCCTGGGATCATGACCTGAGCCAAAGGCAGACGCTTAATGACTGAGCCACCCAGGCACCCATATACCCAATTTCAAGTACAGAATTTCTCAGCTGTTAACAGACATCCTGCATAGTTATTAACTACTACAATTTCCTAAGTTACTCTACAAACCATTTAGGAGAACTTAAAAATTAATAGTAGTAGTGAACAAGAACTCCAGAGAAAATCTGTCTACTTAAGACAGAATATTTCCTACTCTGCCTTAAAATATATAATATATATGCTAGAACATAAATTTCAGATGAACATTGTTTATGATGCTATACTGTTATAAAATAAGTATCAATTAAAATTTTTAGATATAGACATTTAAATCCTAATCTTCAATTTTCCCTACCTCCATCACCTCTTCTTGTTTCTCACATAATCTTATATCTCATCCCTTCCTACATCAAACTTCCTAAATTTCTGCTATACCTCATGCATCAACCAACCTCTGCCTCTTCCCACTGAGAAGTTACAACACAGATAGGCAGGAAATAAACAACTAAAAACAGAATAAGCTAAAACCTAAACATGAAGAGAGCAAGCAGCAAAAGGGTTAAAAGGATGATTTAGGATGAAGCAGAATGAAGCCAGGTAGAATGCAGGGATAAAGAAGACTTAGTATAAACAGTGGAATTATAATCTGATAGGAAAGCATACAAAGGATTGTAGAGGTTGGAAGAGGATTAAAGTTCTAAGTTCATCATCAGGGAAGATCTCCTGGACAAACAGATGAGACTTAGACCAATTAAGAATTACTTAATCATCTAATACAATGCCACTGTATTAGAATTAATTGTTTACATGTCTGTCTCCCCTACTAAACTGTGAGCTTCTTGCAAAAAGCTCTGTAACTTGAGGACTGCCTGGCACAAGGTAGGTACCCAATGAATTTCTATAGATGAGTAGATAATTGTGACTCACCTCCTCACCACCACCCATCCTGATTTAAGTGGAACTCTTTCTTTGGTAAGACAGAGCAAGACGACTTTTTCATTGGTTTGGTTGCTAAGATACACCACTTAAAGTCAACACATATACCACTTTCTTCTCATTAAAACTGCTTGCTTCTCATCACATGCACATATATGAAAACTAATCTCAAATGACTTTTTTTATTGTTTTTTTTATTTTTTAAATTTTATTTTGTTAGTCACCATACATCATTAGTTTTTGATGTGGTGATCCACGATTCATTGTTTTCGTATAACACCCAGCGCTCCATGCAGTACGTGCCCTCCTTAATACCCATACCAGGCTAACCCAACCCCCCCACCCCCCTCCCCTCTAGAACCCTCAGTTTGTTT